CGGTCCGGTCGACCGACATGGATCGCGGTCGACCGGTCCGGTAGACCGACGCTGCAGTTTCGGGCTGGGTTCTGTTTCCAGACCCGTTTCGGTTGTGAGTTGTATTTAAACCCTAAACTCATTTCTAGGGTTAAGCTTGGGCGATTTTGAGCTGCTGAAAGGGGATTAAGAGGGCTTCTATTGTTGGAGTCTATTGGAGAGATCAAGTGGTCTTCTTTTAGGGTTTTGGGTAAGATTTGTAACCCTAATTTGTATTCCCCTTTGATTTCATTAGTAAAGCTTCCCCCTCCTTGCCCCGTGGACGTAGGCATATTGCCGAACCACATATATCTTGTGTACTTGCTGTGATTGGTTGGCTTGTGTGCATTGTGGTCTACTATTGTTCTTGTGTGTCTTTTGATTTGGCTATTGGGGCTTCCACGGCGCACAACATGAGAGCCAAAGTAACTTGTATGTTCTTAATCAGAATGAAAGTAGGAAAATACTATGGGAAGAGCTTCAAGCTTTTTAAAAGGAATGTTAATGGCCTATGGCTGGTAGGAGGGGATTTTAATACTGTTATCAACAATAAAGAAAAGATTGGTGGTACACCAGTAACTGATTCTGACACTAAAGACTTACAGAATTTTATTAGTGCAAGCAAACTAATGCATATTAAGTCAATAGGATGTTTTTTCACTTGGAATAACAAGCAAGAGGCATACTCAAGAGTTTGGTGTAGACTGGATAGGGTATTGGTGAATGAGGATTGGATACAACAATATGCTTCCAGTCAGGTGGAGTTCTTGATACCTTCTTGTTCTGATCATTCACCAGCCCAACTAATAGTAGGTGATGAGAAGTTTGAGGGGAAAAAGTCATTCAAGTTTTTTGATATGTGGACAAAACACCCTAATTTTATATCTGTGGTGCAATCAGTCTGGGGCCAAAGTATCAATGGATACAAGATGTATACATTTCACTACAAGCTCAAGAAATTTAAACCTGCTCTATGGGAATTAAATAAGAAACAATTCATGAACATCAGTGAACAAGTAGCAAGAGCAAAAGCTGAATTGCGTGACATTCAAACACAGATGAATAATAATCTCTTTGACTCAACACTGATATTAAGGGAGAAAGAATGTGTCAAGAAATATTCCAATCTGGTGGAGTGTGAATGCTCTTTCTATAGGCAAATAGCAAATATTAGTTGGGGACTACATGGTGATAAGGGCACTCAATTTTTTCACTCCATCATGAAAGTAAAGAGGCACCAAAATAGAGTATTATCCATTAATTCTGAGAATGGGTCTAGGATAACTGATATGCCTGGAATCATTAATGAATTTATTGAATACTACAAAAAGCTCCTTTGTTCTGCAAGTTCCACTTTAGCACCTGATCCTGGTGTGATTGCTAATGGTTCGATTCTCACCAATAACCATTGCAATGACCTGAGTTGCCCTGTTACTAGAGAAAAGATTAAACATGTTGTTTTCTCAATGTCAGAGGGGAAGGCTCCTGGGCCTAATGGCTTTATTGCTGTGTTCTTTAAGGAGGCTTGGAGTGTCATCAATGAAGATCTATATCTGGCAATTAAGGAATTTTTTTTTGTTCACGTAAACTTATTGGCACTTATAACACTACATCAATTACATTAGTACCTAAAATCCTCAATCCTAGCTCCCCAGCAGATTTTAGACTCATATCGTGCTATAATGTTCTTTACAAAATCATCACAAAAATAATAGCAAGGAGAATTCAAAAAGTTATGGGTTATTTTATCAATGAAGCACAAAGTGCTTTTGTGAAGGGGAGGCTCATATCCAGCAACATTCTTATGGCTCATGAGCTCATCAAGCATTATGGTAGAAAGAAAAATTCTCCTAGAGCCATCCTTAACATTGATCTGAGAAAAGATTTTGACACAATAAGCTACGATTTTATTAGAGATATGTTAATAGGCTTGGGATTTCCAAATGCTATGATATGCTGGATTATAGAATGTATCACAACTCCCAAGTTGTCTCTTTCTCTGAATGGAGCTCTGCATGGGTATTTTCGTGGAGCTAGAGGATTAAGACAAGGGGATCCCCTATTCCCCTACTTATTTGTGATTAGAATGGAGTATCTATCAAGGAAACTGAGTGCTCTCAAGAATGATAAAATGTTCAAATTCCATCCAAAATGCTCCAGGATGAATATTACCCACCTGGTGTTTGCAAATAATCTCTTGTTGTTCTGTAAGGCTGATATGAATTCAATCTCGAGGCTAAAAATGTGTTTCTAAGAGTTCAGCGAAGTATCTGGGTTGGAAGCTAATCCTAAGAAGTGCTCGATCTTTTTGAGTGGGATTGTTGACAGCTTTAAAAATCAAATATGCAGCTATCTTAACTTCTCAGAAGGGGATTTGCCTATGCGTTATCTAGGTATGCCTCTGGTCACTAAGAGACTTTCCTATTTGGAGTGTTCTTCTCTTATCAATAAAATTTCTAGACAACTACAAACCTGGCAACAAAAGAGGTGTTTATCTTATGCTGGAAGGCTTCAATTGATAAAATCTGTAATACTGGGAATTCAAACATTCTGGACCAGTAGCTACATTTTACCAATTAAAGTTCTTGAGAAAATAGATAGGCTATATTCTGATTTCCTCTAGGGGCAGAAAATCCACCTGGTTGTGTGGAAAACTGTGTCAAAGCAGAGAAGTTGGGGGACTAGGAATATTCTCAGCCAAGAACTAGAATTATGCTGCTGCAATCAAACTGTTGTGGATGATTCATCTTAAAAAACATTTACTTTGGATTAAATGGATTCATGAAAATTACTTACAAACTTCAGATGTATGACAAGTTCAGACTAAAGTGAATGATTCATGAATGTGGAAGTAACTCATTAAAGTGAGGTACTTCATGCTGATAAGGTTTGGTAATATTGAAAACCTGCAGAACACTGTTCATGCATGCTGCATAGATGGGAAAGTTTAGTTATCGACTATTTACAATATCCTATCACTATCAACCTCGTCAGCTCCCTGGTTTAAGACACTTTGGAAAGATTTTCATTATCCCAAACACTCCTTCATTCTCTGGTTGGTTTGTCGTTCCAGAATTCTTACCCAGGACCATCTATGTCGTATGGGAATTTTGGATTCAAATGAATGTATACTATGTCCTAATCAACATTTGTAAACTTGCAAGCATCTCTTCTTTGATTGCCAATTTTTAGAAAAAATCTAGAATGAAGTAATGGATTGGTTGCAATTCTCTTGGAAGAGGAGTTGGTGACGAACTTAGGATCTAAGGAAGAGCAAAAACGGGGTTCAATACCAGGTGGAGGAATCAAGAAGAAATCTGCAACAAGTCCACAACTAGGTTTGGAGAGCGCAACAATGAAGGTTGGTGTCAAGTCATCAAATGGCTTGACATCAATGACGTGAAGGTTACAAGAAAGAATTGAAGGTGTTCATTCTCTATAATTTTACAAGTTTACAGCAGAAGGTTACAAGAAAGAATTGGTAATCTTGAATGTGGCTTCATACAAGTCTAAGATGAAGGTTTTTGGGGTTATCCTTGTATTTCTATCCTAAGAAGGCAACAAAAGAAGATAGAAGAAAGGATGTTTACAACGACAAAATAACAAAAAAGGGGCTACAAATAGCCCAAGCCCACAGCTTGGCACCGCTGGTGCTTACTAGCTAGAGCCGTAACTGCCAGCGAATACTGTTGGCAGTAACAAGATAGAAATGTGACCGCTAGTGGTCACAGTTAGTAGTTTTCATGGGCCGAACTAGGTTAAAACCTAGTTTGGCTTAGTTTAGGACTAATTTCTTTGGGACTTCTTTTGCATTTAGGATTCTACTCTATAAACAGAGTTGTTACTAAGATCTAGGGTGATTGGGAAGCTGAAGAGAGGTATGTATTGTGAGAGAGAAGTAGAGAGAATTAAGAGCAAAAATCTAGGATTTGTGAGAGAGTTTTTGCTCAGTTTGAGAGGGTTTCTCATGGGTTCTTTATTAAAAATGCAAGAATAGATTATCTTATAACCTCTAGAATAAAAGAAGACTCAACTCTATATCTATGGACGTAGGTGATTGCCAAACCACGTAAATCCTAGTGTCTTTGTCTCTTTATCTATTTTCTGGTATGTTATTATTCTCTTTAGTTCAAATAGGTTTTCTCAAGGTTTCTACATAACTTAGTGATTGATTGGCCCACGAAGAAGAATTGAGATCTAATCAGAATGTTAGGTGATGCTTCTACAGGCATGCGCAAGCAAGGATAACCTCTTTAGATTTTGAAAACGTCACCTAACCTCCATTAAGTGTGGATAGTTTTAGAAAACCGACCAAACTTCAATTTTCAGCTAACCAACGTAATAAAATTTGATGAACCGTAAAAAAACAAAAATACTAATTTCTATTTTACACTCTAATTAAATTTAATTAAGGGTAAGTTACACTAACCCCCATGAACTTTAAGAGTTTTGCAGTAAACCCCCATGAACTTTCAAAATCATGCTAAACCCTACAATAACTTTTGTAGAAAACCCACAATGTCTTTTGGGTAAACTACACTAATCCGCCAATAACTTTCAAAAAAATTTGTTGTTTTCGGGTTCTAATTCATAAGGGTTTTATGTAAATTTTGAAAGTTCATGGGAATTTAGTGTAATTTATCCTTCAATTATTTAATCAACGGTATTTTGGCCAAAATTAGACCAAACTCATGGTTTTTTTGTGGGGGATGGGGGAGGGGTGTGGGGGTTGTCAAAATTAACTTTCAAAATTATAAAAAGGAGCATGATAGGGGTTTCTTCCAACCAGGGTTTTTTTGGTTAGTTCGACGCACATGATTTTCACGTGCACGGTTAAATTTAACGAGATACTTAAGGGGTTACCTGACAAAGCTTAGGAGTGATTAAGCGATATTTCTGAACGTAATTTAGGGTTTTCACCTGAAAAATTGTGAAACTTAAAATGGGTTTTGTGACATTTACCCACAAAAGTATTTGCAAACCTTGGCAATTTGCATTCACGAGGCTCCCACTTCCATCTCTGATACGTTGAATCTGGCCGCCCGTTTCTCTGGCAAGTAACCGGCTGTGTCAAGTAAGGGCAGCTATCTTCAGTGTAGAGTGGCCGAGAACCATCTTCTTCCAATGCCCACTTCCCATCAAAGAGATTGCATCCGTTCCTAAAAGCATTGGCAAAATCCTCGTCGAAATGATTGTAAAAAACCGGCGAAAACAACCAATGATGAATCTCATGGATCCATGCGCCGGTTGAGCCGGAGACATCGGTGACTATGCGCACAGCTCCGATGAGCACAAGAGATGCTAAGAGGAAAGTGAGGAGGGAACTCATCTAGGTTGGGCGCGCCTTGCAGATTGGGAGGAAGCATTTGGTTTATTTGAAGCTTAAGTTACACTTCTATAGTTGGTGAGGGTTTGATGCCTTTGTGTTGAAGTGATTTGTAGCATACTCATCTAACAACCTCTTGTCTGTTACACAAGCAAGGCCGTCTCAAGCATTTTTGAGGTTCTAGGAAGAGAAAAATATTTAGGGTCTTAACATTAAAAAAATTAAATATTAGTTTTCAAAAAATAAATTTCATATAAAATTTAATTTTCTAGCTTTTTAAGATGCAAAGTTACTAATTAAATTTTATATTCAAGCTTTAATATTCAAATGATAAAATTGTCAAATTATTTAATCTCTTGAGGCATTGTTGAACGTAAATAAGATTTTATTAATAAAAAGATATAAAAGAAAAAAAATAAAAACACAAAATACAGAACATATCCGTGAGCTATATATATATATGTGTGTGAATGTAAATTAATTAAAATAAATAAAAACCAACAAGCTTACGTTTTATTTTGGGGCCTTCTGGATTAGAATTGCAATTATGTATGTTGAGTATCAAAGATTAAACAAATATGAAAGATGAGTGAATGAGAAGAAAATAAAGGAAGTTAGCAAGAGAAAAAACGCATAAACTATGCATAAATAAGAATGAGTATTTAATATGTGCTTTTCTTATATATAAGAGAGAATATACTTATATATACTTATATACTAAGAGAGAGAGAGTATATATATATATATATATATATATATATATATATAGGGAAAAGTGAATCTAAGGTGACATCCTAGGCTCCCACCTAAGGACGCGGCCTAGAATCACATCATTTCCTAAATTATTTTTGTGATACGCTCCGTTGAATTTGATCTACACGTTCTTAAACACAAACACACCAATTTTGGGGTGAACCCGTCATGTTTTGATCCTTTATCCACTCGTTGCAATTTTAACGGTTTCGAATGAATAGAACTTTTTGCACGGCTCAACGAATGGTCAAAACATAACGGGCTCACCCCAAAATTGGTGTGTTTGGGTTTAGGAACGTGTAGATCAAGTTCAACGGAGCGGATCGCAAAAAAATTTAGGAAATGATGTGATTCTAGGCCGCTAAAATTTTTGGGGGCCCCAATAAAATGGAGGCCCTAGGCATATGCCTTAGTGGCCTATGCCTTCAGCCCACAAGGGATTATTGAAGTTCACTAATTTATGTAGCTACAAGGTGAGCTTACTAGACATTTTCATGATACATTAAGTTGGGCCGAGAGCGGCAACTAGACTGTACGTCACTGTGGGCCCCACCGATATGATTATAATGTGTCGCTGGAGGGATGTTTCTACACTAGACCCTTTAAACTTTCTTATATCAAATTTAGACCTCAAATCATTAAACTTGTTTTCATGTACGCCAAGTTTTAAGCTATTTCAAAATTAGTCCCTAAAATCATTGAAGCCGCCATTAGGTCTCAATTCTCATAAGTTGTATAAAAAGATTCCCTCCAATTGCTATTGTTACTGTTGCTGAACTAATCTTAAACTTGTTTTAATGGACTAATCTTAAACTTGTTTTAATGGACCGAATGGCACGTATGCTTAAGAATCTTCACCTTGCAATTAATTGATTCATACATAAGGGTTGTTTGGTTCACTCAGGCTCACTTTGGTTTGAGGTAAATTGAGAGTAAGGAAAAGAAAATTAAAAGGAGAACTAGGTTCCAATGTTTGGTTAGAAGGAAAGATAAAAGGAAACTGAAAGCCAAATTAGTTGAAGAAAATGTGCTTCTAAAATTTTCATTTCAATTTTTTTTCCCGGCATGTAAGGGAATGGACGGAATATTTTGTCGGGGCCGAGTATAACCCCCTTCACGAGTCCAGGATAGGCTGAATGTAAGTCGTTATCACATGGGCCCCACCGGTATGATTATAATGTGTCGCTGGACCAACATGCTATTTATAGTTGCACATAAAGAGGGATGTTTCTACACTAGACCCTTTAAACTTTCTTATATCAAATTTAGACCTCAAATCATTAAACATGTTTTAATGTACCCCAACTTTTAAGCTATTTCAAAATTAGTCCCTAAAATCATTGAAGCCGCCATTAGGTCTCAATCCTCATAAGTTGTATAAAAAGATTCCCTCCAATTGTTATTGTTGATGTTGCTGAACTAATCTAAAACAAGTTATGACAATTGGTGAAGTTAATAGAACTTAAATGATTTGAGGACTAAATTTTGAAATAACTTAAGGGGACTTCGTAGTAGTCTCAATAATTTTAGGGACTTATTTTAGAATCTTAGCGATTATTGTTGACTATTTTTGTTTAAACTGACTTTTTATTGTTTGTATTGATAGAAAATTGTTAGCAAGCCACTTGATTTATTCTTTTTCTTGGTGTTTATTCTTGTTCTTAGTGTGATTTCTAGCGGTTTAAAATTTTCGGTGTGATATGCTTGTACTTATTTTTACTTATATGGATTCAGTATACTATTCTCAATGATTTAAAATTGTAGTAATATATATTACTTTCTCCTATATAGTTTTTTTGTTGAAGGCATTCTGTAAGACTCTTTTTTTTCCTATACAAAAAAATAAAACAAAACAAAAACAAAAAATAAAAAATAAAAAACAAAAGAAGCAAAAACAAAAATGCTTGTACCTTTCAAAAGAAAAAGCCTGTATAGGATCCACATATTTTCCTCATTAAGTCATTATAATTAATTTAAAATTAAAAATATTTATAAAATTAATAAATTGATGGGAACTATTGTATAATATAAACCAATTGTATTATCTATATTATTTTTTTGAACAATCAAACATAAACTGGTTGTTCATTATTTTCCTTCAAATTCTTCTTCTAATTTTCATCCTAACCAAACATGAAAAAGTAACCAATTTCTATTTATTTTTTTCTTTCCCTTTCTTTTCTTTTTCCTTTTCTTTCATTTCGCCTCAATCCAAACACAGCCTCAAAGTATAGGATTTGGGTGGAAAAGCAAGAAAGTGAATGAAAAGTACCACTTTTTTTGGTAAATAAAAAAAATATTATTCATCACCAATATGGAACTTTGTACACATCAAGAATCTTATGTACATGTATGAGATAACTATATAAACCTATAACTAAAGCTCATAAAAAGAAACAGATTTGCACAGAGCCTAAACAGTATAAAAGCTGAAAACCAACAAACCCAGCAAGACAGCAGCAAATATTCTACCATGCTTCCCTTATATCACCAATCTTTTGAGGACCTTCATGTCTATCACCAGCAGCAAAAATGGGCTTGAACACAACTCATCATCTTCAAATTTCCTCAATGTATAATGGAACAAGGCAGCAGCAAATATTCTACCATGCTTCCCTTATATCACCAATCTTTTGAGGACCTTCATCTCTATCACCAGCAGCAAAAATGGGCTTGAACACAACTCATCATCTTCAAATTTCCTCAATGTATAATGGAACAAACCAGTAGATCAGAGAAAAAACATCCCAACCTCAATTATTTACAAGGATGATATACATTCCTTGTATTCTTCCTGAAAGAAGCCATTGAGGATAGCAGACAATATGTTAATCTTAATCTCTTTAAAAATCTGTTTAGCAGTCTTAGTCTTTTGATTGAATAATCTGACATTTCTCTCAATCCAAATGTTGTAGATTATAGAAACAAGAGTCATTCTCTTAATCAAACAGAAAGAAGAGATGATTCAGTTGGCTAGCAGCTCATGATCGCTTGCTCACACAAGACAGACTAATCAAAAAAAGTATTGTGAATGAAAATAACTGTTGCTGGTGCATTGGCACTGAGAGCAGGAATCATCTCTTCTTCGAATGTCAATTTTCAAGGGAAGTTTGGCTACTGATCATGAACTGGTTACAATTCAAGTGGAGGTCTTGCAATTGGGATCTGATTATGAACTGGTATTGTTTAAGATTAAGGGGGAATGGCTTTAAACAAAAAGTTAAAAAAAATAGCACTAACTGTATCAATCTACGGCATCTGGTGTGAAAGGAACACTAGAATTTTCAAACAAGAAGTGAAGACTGTAGATCAATTGTTCAAGGAGATCAAATTCATCATTCTAACTGCTATACTCAATGGTTCTTTCTCGACAGATGATAAGTAATGGATATGTACCTTGTAACTACTTGAGGTTGTAAGCTGTTAGCTTTTAGTGCATTCTCAATTCTAAAACTGAGCAGTGATGTACAGAAATTCTCATATTTGGAAGATGAATAAAATTTTCATTGACCAAAAAAAAAGAGTCATTCTCTTAATTCTTTGCTTGAATTCCCTTCCTCTCAGTCCGGTATAATACCAGTTTATGATTTGCCTCCAATCACAAGATCTCCACCTGAAATGCAACCAGTCCATAACCATAATCCAAATATCTCTCGAGAAAGTACACTCAAAGAAAATATGATCTCTGGTCTCAGTGCCAGTGCACAAGCAGCAACAGTTATTTGTCACAATTCCCCATTTGATAAGTCTATCTTGAGTGAGCAATCGATTTTGGATAGCTAACCAACATATAAAAGAATGCCTGAGGATGTTTGTAGTCTCCCAAATAGTGCTGAACCAAGGCACTACAAAAGAAACAGGGGAGAGTTTACTATATAAAGCTGATATTTTAACTTTAGAATCTCTCATGCACGACTGGATGAGAATTTTAAGACAATCAGCTCCACCATATGAAACCAAAGCCTTATCTCTTACTTTCAAAATTTGTTTCCACATCCAAGAATCCTCATTCTTAGCTTAAATCTGCCATATGTCAGTATTATGCTTCAAGTATGTACCATGAATCTATTTTATCTATAAATTTTCCTTTTTTACATGGATGTTCCAAAGGATATTCAGAATAGAAGCCATATTCCAAGTAGCACCTGAAAAAATGCATAGACCACCATTTCTTTTATTTAAACAGACCTTGTCCCACGAAACAAGAGGATTTTTATGAGCCTGTTCAAATTTGCCCCATAAGAAGTCCCTGCACATATCATCAATTTTTTGTAGCACTTTCACTGG